TCTTATCCATCCTCATTCCATTCATTGTGATATATATCGCTTTTTGCGTTGAAAATCAGCAGCTAATTTTATTCTAGGTATCATCGATGGAATAAAAAATTGATTTCTTTTCTGTTTTGCATTCAATCGTCATCGGGATGGGTGCAGACAGCTTTGATAGAACGAGGATAATCCTGTTGGTTATATGAACCAACTGCAGATGATTGAGGACATGGCGGTATAACTGATCTATAGTCGATTTATTGTGACTTTCTGGATTTAAGCATTGATGCGCACGCTACTAACAAAAATTGGCTACGGGATCGCTGATCCGCTGAACAAATACTTTCAGTCCACAGAAAATAACGCACTATCGCTATTGTCGCCGAAAAAGTGGCAAAAATTTTCACTGCAAAGCAATTTAGCAAAAGAGTGCGTTATTTGTTATCATTACTCACTACTTTCGAATGTTCGCTTAAATTTTGCAATTCACTGCTTATTTGCATGGGGAAAAGCCTCATTGCGCCATTAGACAGTTTAAAATCTTTATTGAATCATTCAACAACATACAATCATTCAAACAATATGGGAGCGTGAATTTGAAAAAAAAAAAACAAACTTCTTTACATTAATAAAACAACTTTCAACAGTAAATGAACTACCAAATGATCACAACACTTCACATTCTACAACAACTTATAAACTAAACCTAATTCCAAAAGCAAATAGCCATCTAACTGGCTTATGCCGCTAACTCCAAAACAGACGAAATCGATTAGAATTGCTAAGAATAATCCTAATATTCTGTGGAGCAATTGTGCTTTCCTTCAGAGAAATGGCTGACTTTCTGAAGATATCATTTGATCAGTTGTTCGGCAGCGCTGTTATTTCCCTGGTCTTTTCAAACTCACAGATTGAAAAGAGTCGGATCAGTATGCTCATCGTATTGCAATCATCTGCACCGAACATAGCCGCACATATTAGTGTCGAATAAATATCTCCGAATATCTCACCACGGTTCTTTCATAAAGGCAAAAATGAGTACTATTCGAAAAAATAATGCTCCACGGTGCATACGAACGAACGTTCAAAAGACGATAGAATGGATCTATTTCAATTTTGAATACATTGCATCAATTTGCGCCGCAAAATGTTTCTTGATATTCGGACGTTTCCCTTTCAGCGTCGGCGTTAGCATATCATTCTCGATTGTGAACTGCTCTTGCGAAACGTAGATGTCTTTCACCTGAATAACAGTACGCTTACAGTCAGCAGCTGTTCTACATGGAGATGGTTGATAGAATCAGTAAACTGTTATTAGTGTTTGATTATTTGATAGAGAATTGAATCGATGGACCTGTTCAAAAGATTGCAATCCTCCTTTCTTGCCGATATCGATCAGATCCTCCAGAATGAGCTTCTTAAGAGCCTCATTTGAGCACAATTCTTTCAACGATGGATTTTGCATACCCAAATGGTCAGCAGCAGCCTTTTCTAACATCTGCAAGAACAAGTGACGTGACGGCGTATGCAAGGCTCGTGATTAACGCAATTTACTTGTGAACAAATTCATCGATTTGAGCCAGTTATCAACTGATAGTGCTCAGAGAAGTTGTTAATCTACTAGCAATATTCAAAAAAGCACGGACGCACTGAATATCACAATCACTGCGCCGCTAATCATAATATGCTAAATACAAAAAGCCAGCTTGACCTTTTGTTCAGGAACAACAATCGCTATAAGACACGTTTTCAAGCTTTCGCCGTAAACGAATATTTGCATCACGTATTTGGAATGCTCATAAACATTCTCAATCTTCTCTGGTGCAATATATTCACCCTGCAATATATTTTCCACATGTTCTCAGTTGATTTTCAAAATGTTTGCAGAATTCAAGAATTTGATCATACGATTTGATCAAAATTGTGCATTACTCAAAATCGTTGAACTGAGATTCGCACAAAAACATAATATGCCAAAATTCATAGCATTCGAGTTTTTAAATTTCCGAATATCTTGCAAATGTTCAAAAAAGATAGTGGAGCAATGAAACGCTTCCGCTTGATGCTGTTGCAAAATTTAGCGTCAGAGATGCGACCTGTTGTAGTTTGAAGATGTGTTTCTTTCGATCGATGACTTTCAG